ACATACCCTAGGACGTGGAGAAAATAAGAATAAACATGGCCCTCTATGGGAGAGTTCACTCTTTCAAACAATAAGCTGCAAAGCCTTCTCCATTCACAACGTCATTTACAGGAGGTTTTACTGGAAGTTGTTCTCTGAAATACCAGTAGAAAGACTGTCTATGAGGACTTCTGTGAATTATCCCAGTACCCACGGATGCCACAGTGTCTTGTCTAGAGTTGTATTTTTCTGTGGGGTTTATTAAAATGAAGCCAGCCACCCTGTTTAAATTTTTAGCAGCTCTTAAGTGGATGGAAGGTATGCAGGCTTTAAGTTTGTGAGTTTAAGAGAGGCATTGATTTATTTTAGCAATTTGGGTTTGGAATTTAATTTCCATCTTCTTTGTTCCTTCCTCTTTAGTCTCTGCCTCCTCTCTCTCTCTCCTTCCCTCCCTCTCTCTCTCTCTCTCTCTCTCTCTCTCACACACACACACACACACACACACACACACCTCATTCTGTTGCTAAGACACCCAAAGTGAAATAAGCTTCTGAGACTTTTTTGAAAACAAGTTCTGAGACTTTTAAGATAACCGCAGGGAGCGGTGTGATAAGGTGCTTCAGCTGTTAGGCAGTGAGCACATAACAGGACATTTGTACTAGTCAAGCCGGGTGTGAACAACCAGAAGGAAAAAAAATAGTATTTGTTTCTGCAGTCTAGAAGAAATTAGCAACAGAAAACCTTAACACGTTTCAAGTTTATAAATGAAGTCATGGGATCAAAGGCTCCTTCGTGTCCTCTGAGGGGTGTTTCTGGCCTGCTAGAGCTGGATGTTCAGTTCGCCGTGAGCTGTTGGTACCGGAGGGTCCTGCCCCGAGCACCTTCCTCCTCCTTCAGGGACTGGGGAAGACCCCACACAGACCTGTGTGCCCGGTCCCCCGAGTCTCTCCCATCACCTGCCACCTGGGCTGGCCAGAGAAGGGCAACCCCTAATGACCACTGCACTGTGCAACCACTGCTACAACTTCTTGGTGACTCAGTGTCCCCAGGCTGTTTCAAGCCAGGAGGCCAGAACAGCCCAGCACATTGCAGGGGCTCATAGTGGCCATTTATTATTTTCAGGCTGCCAGCTTCCATCTGAATTTCCTAACAACACCCCAAATTTACTGGGGAAATAAAGTCCCCCTCTTGTGTGTAGTCTTGGTGGAGGGACCAGATCATTTCCCTCCTCACTCTGATTCACAATGGGGGAAGGAGGAGACAAAAGCTGACCTTGGCCAGTCTGGTGTGTTTTCCAGAGACTTTGAACTTGGGTGAGTGGCCCAAGGAGGGAGGACTGATGGAGGCCCTTCACTGTGTCGGGAAGGATGGCTTACTATTTCTTGTGAATTGTCTGCTGCACTTTTTTTGGTTCTCTGGAGCATTCCTGGCACTGGCTTCTCCAAGCCTGACTTTTTGAATCCCAGTTATCTGTGGACCCCTAAATAAGTCCAATAATTTCTCTTTTGCTTGTTAGCTAGGTTCCTTTTCTATTGTTTGCCATTAAAGTCTTTGATTGACATGGTACAATAACGATTCCTGGAGTGAATAAATGAATGGAATGAAGACAGGCTCAGGTCATATTTCAAGCCTTTTCTGACTTTTCCCTCCTTTGTCATAATCAGAGAACTCAATCTCATCTGTAGGTGGGTTTTCTTGGAACTTGGAAAAACAGCAAAGCTTTCTATAACCCTCCTTGTGGAGGCAAAACTATTTTTTAAAAAATAATTGAACTTAACTTTTAAACTAATGCTTCCTGTATGGTGGTTAGAAAATACAGGTAAGCATAAAAAGAATATAAAAATATTTCTAAACATGTTTCTGTGTAAGAAATACCAATGGGCAAAATCATGTTTAGTACCTGAATGGTATTTCATGGTACAGATAATACATTTAGTTAATACTCTATTGCTAGATGTTTGGGTTATTAACAACTATTCACTCTTAGAAAAGATTCTGCAGTGAACATTCTTTTAGGTAAACCTTTGGGTGCATAGGTTCATTACCCTTAGGATACATCTTAAGAAGTAAAACAGTTGGGCCAAAGAGTTTGCATGTCTATAATAATTTACTTAAAAAACCATCCCTTTTAAAATAAAATTGGTGGAAAAAAAGAATAACATTTTATCATGGGACTCGTCTTGAGCAAGAGCAAAACCAAAACAAACAAAAAATGAAAAGCCTATGTTTCAAGGTGTGCAGTAAAGCAGCCCCATCTAAAACCACATCAGATTAACTAAGGGGCTTCAACTAACCAGCTGTATTAAACAGAGACAGAGGATGCAAGAAAATTTTACTAATAGCCCTGTCTGCTCAACACAACCAGACATCGCACTTGCTCTCCTCATCCATTCATTTACAAAACAGTTACTGAGTCTCTACTGGGTGCTTGGCATGGTTCAAGGGACTGGGACATGGAAAGGGGGGTAAGGTGTGGTCTCCACCTTGGAGGCACTCACCACCCTGGGCTGTGCAGAAATGTAAACAACTCCACAAACACCCAGTGTGCTGGTAGCCGCTCCAGGAGAAAGATGAGCACGGTGTGGTGGGCGCAGAGAGCCAGGAGCAGTTTCTTCCTGTGCATCAGGAGTTCTCTCCTCTCTGTTCCCTTCTCCCCATTAAAATGCACCATTTGAAATGGGACCTGCCCTGGCTGGTGCGGCTTAGTGGATTGAGTGCCGGCCTGCAACTCGAAAGGCTGCTGGTTCGATTTCTCAGTCAGGGCACACGCCTAGTTTGCAGGCCAGGACCCCAGTTGGAGATGTATGAGACACAACCAATCAATGTATCTTTCGACCATCAATGTTTCTCTCCCTCTCCTTCTCTCTCCTTTCTCCAATCTTTAAAAATGAATAAATAAAACCTTAAAAAAAGAAGTGGGATCCACCTTGAGGAAATACTTTTTCTAGGAAATCGAAGAAAGGAGTGATCAGGACAACTGCACGGAACCCGTGAGCATTGAGGAGGGGCAGTGACAACACCTGGAGGGCATTCTGGAGAGACCACTGTGAAACAAGAGAAGAAAGTGTGTGCAAGGTGGCTAAAAACAAGGGCTACCTTGGACCGCTCTTAATAACAAGATAAGACCCTTTAGTGGACCTCCATGAGTAGAAGAAAGCCACTGTATTAGCTATTGTTGCCGCAACAAATCACTTAGTGGCTTAAAACAACACAAACTGATCATCGTACAGCTCTCTAGACCAGAAGTCCGACATGGGTCTCACGGCACTTCACTCACAGTGTCTGCAGGGCTGCCTTCCTCCCTCCTTCCCCGCCTTCCCCGGCTTCTGGAGGCTGTCTGCCTTCACCGGCTCAGGCTCTTCCTTCTTCCAGGTTCAAGGCCAGCAACAGCTGCTCAATTCCATCTCCCATAGAATCACTCTGGTGCTTCTCTCTTCCGCTTTTAAGGAAGCTTTTCAGGGCCCACCTGTAAAATCCAATATAATCTGTCGGTTTTAAGGTCCTTAATTGAATCACAGTTGCCTAGTCCCTTCCGCCACGTGAGGGGACATATTCACAGCTTCTTGGTCTTGGGACGTGGTTGTCTTGGGGGAGGTGTTTTCTGTCTTTGTGGCACTAGGGCTTTGGAGCAAGCGTGACATCCTGGGACTCTGAACATGCTGACCTCAGGAGAGAAGAAGGACTGGAAGGAAGGCGGAGACCAGTTAGAGAATCTTTTTGGTGCTTCCTGAAAAGATAGGATTTAGTTCTGTGGGAAAAGGAAGGAAAGGACAGATGCCAGTGGTAGAGCTGGGACAGACTCCCTGGGACCCGGGGAGCGGTTGAGTGGAGAGTGGGGAGAAGGGGAACAGAGGCAGTGCTGTCAGAGGTGATTGTCAGGATAGTGGTGTCATGTTGTCACATGCATGTGATATAGAGAAGGGGCATAATGATTAATTCAAGTTTAGATCTTAATATCTTAGCTGATAAATAACCTAATATTCCCACTTTTACATTTTGAAAGGGGGATAGGAGAGGAATAAAGATTTAGGATACATACATCTCAGGAAGAGAAGTGACAGGTGGGAATCAGAATGGCTGGGAGGGACACCAGGGTGTTGGGACAGACACAAAGCACAAGGATAAGACAGAAGAGGTGACAGGATGGGGACAGACTGTAATGGGAAGAGAGAGAAAGTGTACGAGTAAGATGGGGAACAGACATAGACCACGAGGAGGACAGACCCCCCCCAAAAAAAAGAAGTGGGAAATGAGAGGCAGGAATATGGGCAGAGAAAGGGACCCGCTCAGAGTTTCTGGTGTGAGTAGGTCGGTCAACTTAAATTTCCAGTCCACTTGGACTGTACTCACAATTTTAAGTTAATAGCTTTTAAGATCGTCTTGGAAGACTTAGTTGCTTTTGGAGGCTAACTGCTGTAAGGTTTCACGGTGCTGTCACACCTCCTGCAGACGGGGTGGCCCTTGAGGGGGTGAAATGCCCCTCTAGCAGGCCTTCTGGCTCCCTCACCTGTCTCACCAAAGGAAGGTTCTCCCCCCTCCCGCCCTCCTTCTCAACATGTTTTAGCTCTTGACCCGACTTCTCCCTGCAGTTGGAGGGCTTTGTCAGATGTGTTGAGGAAACAAATGTTTTGGTTCCTCACAGATATTACCGACACGGGGTGCCACGCGGGCAGGAGCTTTGGCGACTCTCAACACAGCCACCCGTTTAGGGTCCCCATTTTACAGACCTAATCACATGCCCAAGGCCACGCGTGGACAGAGCTGGGAGAAATGTTACCTCCAGATCGGGGAAGCATGGAGCGAACTAACAAATATTGGCAGGATCGCTTCTGAAGACTTCAGGATAATGAAACGCTACCTCTGGAAAACTTGGGAGCCTGTAGCTAAGGAACAACGGAGCTCACTCTGAACCCTGCTCCCAAACCGAACCTGCCCTGGCAGCCAGAGGCATAAGGAAGTAAGCTATACAGTAAGGGGCAGGGTTTCTCCCGACACAAACGCTTTCATACTTATCTTACAATAGAGGAAATGGGCACTCAGAGAGGTTAACCAACTTGCCCAAGGTCACCCAGGAGCCGGCAGGGAGCCCAGGGCAGCGTTTGCTCCGGGAAAGAGCAGACTGGCCAGCCCAGGGGGTGAGGTCCTTCCCGCGCTGCGTCTGTGCCCACTCCCCTGTGCACCAGGCCTCCCGGGCCGGGGCCCCCGCGATCCCCCGCGTCCGGTGGGGGCGGCAGCGGGGACCGCTCTGGCTGGGGGGCTGCCGAGTCGGCGGGGCCGGCTCCGCCGGCTGGGGAGGAGGACTATGCACCACGAACCCAGGTGAGCCGAGGCGGGGGCCCTGCCGCCCGCAGCCGGGGGCCCGCGCCTGGAGCCCGGCGGCCTCCCTGTGCGGGGGCTGGAGCCGGCACCCGAGGGGGCGGCGGGGAGGGCGCAGGCAGCGGCTGGGAGCGCAGCAGCGGCGGCGAAGGCAGAAGCTCGGCTCCGCGGCTCCGGGCGGCCGCTCCAGTCCTCCAGGGCGCCTTGCTCCGTCGCCTCAGGCAGCGGGTAGGTGCGGCCGGTGCGCGGGGGGTCTGGAGCCCGGGAGCCCACGTGTGTCGGTAGGGTCGCGGTGGGGGCGGGGTGGCACGACCCGGAGAGGTGCTCAGGCGCTCTGGATTCCGGAGCCCGGGCTTTGCCGCAGGGATGGGCTGCGCGGCGGCTCAGGTTGTAGGTGGGCTGCTGCCTGTGCAGGACCCGTCTCCAGCGTGGGACCACTGTAGGGTTGGGGCTAGTGCCCTGCGCTTGGGTACGTGAGTACTCATGGAACTGCTTGTGTGTTCACTGACTATGGCAGGTTGTGTGTGTAAGGGCGTGTGTGTGTGAATGAGAGAGAGAGAGAGAGAGAGAGAGAGAGGGAGAGAGAGGGAGAGAGGCACGTAGGCTGTGCATCCATAATGTGTGTGTAACTAGATACATGTGGGCTGTGTGGATGGTCCTGGGTGTGTGGTGAGTGCACTCTGTCTAACTGTATGAGTGTGTATGTGACAAGATATGCGTGTCCTGAGTGTCTAACTGGCTGTGTGGGCACGCTGTGCTGCATGAAGCGTTCCGTCACTGACAGTACTAGCGTCCTGCGGTTGTCTTTCACAGAATCCCAGCCCCAATTTAAGATGCATTTCCCCTCAGCTTGCCACCCTGAGTGTGGCACCGTGCTGGTGGCTGCCTTTTCGAAGTGGCGGCTGGCAGAGGTGGGGAAGTCATGGGCATTGGCTGATTTTGCTATAGAGTTCAATGTTAAGAAAAAACGATGGTTTGGTTTTCTGTTTAGTCTATTAAAATGTACCCAAAAATCTTTCCTAGGGTACAGATTTGCCATAAACCAAAGCTGATGGGAGGGCACTGTGGCAAGTTTGCCCTCCTTGTCTTTTATGACTGCCCGGGTCATAAAGCTGTGGGTGAGTCTGGGGGGCGCTGGGTGGTGTTCCCACGGTCCCCTGTAGCATTAGTGATGAGGGAGAAGTTGGCGCGTGCTGCCAGGGAGCACAGGTGTTGAAGGAGAAGGACACTGGTGATGGATGCGGTGCCCTCGACTCAAGGAAAAAGTCAGGACAGGTCGCGAGGCTCCTGGAGCTCTGAGAAGCAGCCCTCCCCTAGGAAGTGATGAGTGTGGGGGAACAATTAGTAAAAAGCAAAGAGGGTTTGCAGCATTCTCAAGGCACCTTTTAATCTTATCTTCATTTTCTCCATGTACCCTTACCCTAAATTAATTCTCTCTTGTGTTTGCATCATTTCCTCCCATGGGAAACATCTTTATTATAATTATTATTATACAGCTGAGCAGGTTGTCATTCCACTGAAGCGCGTCAGAGTTAGCAGGCGCTTCCGGAGGGCCCAGGGCCCAGGGCAGAGGGGTGCTCTTGGTATCTCTGAGTTGTCTGGATTTTATTCCTGAAGCTGCTCCTTCTAAGGGCCACAGCTGCCTCGTTCGTAACCAACAAATTAAATATGTTTTCTTCCACTTGAGTTTGACTGGACCTCCCACACACTGTTCGCCCCCTCTTCTTCCTCCCCAAAGAACAGCACCTGGAACCCAACCCAAGCAACCTGCTGCCCCAACCCTCCTCCTGATTTCCCCATCTGTTATCCAACCACCAACACCCTCTGTGTCGCCTCGCTGGTCACCTTTCTGTTTCTCCTCTTCCTTCATCAGTAGTGGCCACAGCTTAATAGGGAGGTTTTATTCTTTTTCCCTCAGTACTTCTTGAATCTTTTTTTTTTTTCCAATGTCCACTGCTACCACTCTGTCAGGTGACACCCATATTCAGGGATTTCTAGAAATAGCCCTGATAATATCACTGTCTGATTAATCAATTAAATAACTATTTGGGAAGAATCTAGACCTTCTGATGGTTGTAGCATTATGTGACCTACGTGGAGTCTCTTGGCCATTCTAAATCTGTTTCCTCATCTGTGGAATGTAGCGAAAGATTTCAACTACAACCCAGTTGCTAGATCATTTCCAAGGATTCTTCCAACTTTAAAATTCTCTCGTTGTCATTGATGGTCTTTGTTTTCGCAGGAAACATTTCTCCTAAGGCCTTAGGGCTACCTTCTAATATCTAACCATCTTTTTCAAAAATTCTATTTGTCTTTAAAGAAGGGAAATAGGCAAAGGGGAAAAGGGTGAAAGTGTCCCATTGACTTAAGTTTGTGGTTGAGGGTTAACTAGATATGTCAAGCTTGGGAGTTGCAGGAATCTTAGACGTCACTCATTCTCGCCTCCCATCAAGTGCAGAATCTTCCATGCCATTGCCTTTGTGAAAAATGAAAGAAAATTGTGTAAGTTTTATTAAGATAATGTCTCCTAATGTTATAACTCAAGGTCTCTCAAACCTCTGTATTTTTGACATTTTGAGGTAGACAATTTTTTTCTTATGAGGCACTGTCTTGTGCCTCATAAGATGTCTAGCAGCATCTCTGGCACCCATTTGATACCAGTCGCAAGCACCAGTTGTGACAACAAAAAATGTCTCCAGACATTATGAAATGTCCCCTTGGAGGACAAAGTCCCCCCCATACCTCAGCTCCTGTTGCAAACCACTGTGCTGTAATTCAAATACAAGTCTTGTGGCCCTGTCCAGTAACACCTTACAACAAAGTGTTGTAATAAACCAGCGAATTGCTGCGCTGCTAGCCGCTTTTCCACCGCCTTCCGTCCTGGCCACCCTCACACATGTGTGCCTCCTACCTTCTTACTCCCCTGATGCTGTGCCTGGAAACTTTCAAGATGCTGCTGAAAGCTGAAAAGTGTTTGAGAGACAATATAACGATAATCGTAACAGCTCACATTAATTCAGCCCTTGATATGTGCCAGACATGGTTCTGAATGTTTTCCATGAACGATCTCATTTAATCTTCGTTAAGAACCCTATGAGAGAGATGCTTTGATTCTCCCCATTTTAGAGATGAGTAACCCAGTCATACAGAGGTGGAATCACATGGTCAGGCTTTCTCAGCTGAGGAGTGGTTGGAGCTGGGGTTGGTTGATGCGTTTTCTGACTCCATATTCTGACCTGCCTTCCACAAATGGGACCTTGGTGTTACAGGGTGGAAACAATCTCAAACATCATCTCGTTCAATTGTGAAACTATGCATCATCTACAAAGGCTAGAGACTGTGAGGTTAGCAGTTGCATTCAGTTGAAATAATGTGGTTTCTCCTTCTGTTGTCTTCTGAATTCAGGTTATTCAGAAATAGCTCCGAGGCGTCTGCAGGGTGAGAGCTATAGGGGCTGAGTTGGGTGAGTTAGAGGAGAGGGGCTCAGGGGAAGGGAAGGGTGGTGAAAAGGAGCAAACAATGAACACGATGGTTCTTTTTCCATTAAGTCCTTGCCATCATCTAAACTTTAGCTATCTCTTCTACCAGTGAATGTGAAGTTGCCATATTTTATCAGCTCCCTCCTTCTGTTTTCTTCTTGGCCTGCCCTTTCATTCTTCCATTATGCATGCTGTTTTTATACTACACAGGCAGGAGGAAGTGGTACACCTACGGACAGAGTGAGCTGTAAGTGCAATGTACTTGTATGGATAGGGTAAGAAAGACTACCCTACTAATAACTAGTAAGCTTGAAAATCCAAGGTATGCCCTAGGAAGGCTGGCTGTTGCCTCTAAGACCCTGTATCAACAAATCCACAGGTCTGGTGGCTGCCAGCGAGTAAATAGTAGAGCCTTGGTTTTGCAAGCCTCAGAGTTTGGTCAAGACAGTGGTTCTCAAACTTTGGTAAGCATCAGAATCATCTACAGGACCTGCTAAACAACGTGGCTGGTCCCCACCTCCAGAGTCTCTGATTCCTTGCTTCTGGGTTAGGATCTGAGAATCTGTATTTCTGACAGGTTCCTGGGTGATACTGATGGCGCTGGTCCAGAGACCAGAATTCAAGAACCACATGGTGAAGACCTAAATAAGTAAAGGTCACCGCCCACCTACCTGAGATTATTTGTAAACAAAAGGGATCTTATTTTTGAGATAATTGAGCATTTGGATTTATGAGAAGCAATGGATAGGGCAAGATAGAAAGAACAATAAATGCTAAGGACTAGCTGACATCTCTCGGTAAGCATCTGAGCTTTGCCTCTCAGTTTGAATTTCAGAAAAAACCTTTGCTTTTTCTGCTTTGGATTAATTCTGATTTCAGATCTTTCCATGCTTTCTACCTCAACCCACCCCCACATTCTTAATTTGAAAGATAGAATTTCTCATGAGTCACAGGATAATCCAAATAAAAAGTTCTTTAATATCTTGCCTATTGCCAGATAAATTCTGACTGGCCCCCTATATTAAAAAATGTATGTTACCTGCCCATCAGCTTTTGTTTCCTATGCAGTTACTTTGTATTTCTTTCTCTTTCAAATCAATATCAGCACCAGGAAGAAACCTAACAGAGACTCAAGCCAGACATTTATATGTAACTGATTAAATGTTTTAAAGTTTGAAGCAGAATAAGTTTCTTTTAAAACCAAATTTCAAACTCAATCAACCCCTCCTCCTTCTTTAAAAAAATTTTAATAAACTTTATTTTTTACAGCAGGGAAATTTGGGTTCACAGCAAAATTTATCAGAGAGTGCAGAATTCTTGTATACTCATATCTCCTACCCCAACATAAGCAAAACCTCCCCTACTACCAACAGCCTGCCCCAGAGTGGTACATTTCTTACAACTGATGAACCATTGACATGTTAATACAACTCAAAGTTTGTAGCTTACATTATGATTCACTCTTGGTGTTGTCCTATGTCCTATATGTTTCTGACAAATGTATAATGACATGTACCATCATTA